GCCATCTGAAAGTGAAGACACCAAATTGTTACAGTGCTTTCTCTAGTCCCTCATCAAGGATGTTCACTTTGCACTTTACACCCTTTTGAGTTGTTGATCCTATATTTGCAGTGAACATAGATAGCTGATCATAGAACTTCCCATAAAAACAAATTCTCAGCCTGATCTCTAAGCCATTTGCATTCCAATTCTCAAAATCATGAGTGCTCAAGATTGATAGCCCTAAAAACTTAGGGCATTAAATTTTGTGTCAGTTATCAATTTATTGCCTTTCCATTCCCAAGACACACTACAATATACAGTGAAATGTGTGAGATCGGAAACTCAAGGGGACTGCCTTGTTCTCCCCAGGTTTCGGCCTTGTACAGAGCGCACTCTGACTTTTCTATGGCTTGCTATAAATGGAGAATATTTGACGTAGGTGTCTGCTTTACACAGGCCCTAGCCTTTGCAGGTTTTACTGTTTGCTCTATGATAAATAAAGGAATTTCCTTAGGCATTTCTCCTTAAAAGTGAGCAGGATGTTCAGCTTTCTCAGTAAACAGGAGCTGGCTGGAGTGTGGAGGAGTCAGAGGCTTCCTGCAATTTCCAGTAAAGGTAGCTATCAGCGATGTGAATAGGAGAACATGTAGAACTGAGCCTGCCCCCACAGACCCAGAACTCAGTCCCTTGCGATCTTGCAGGCTCATCTTGGGTACAACCTTTCTGCAGCTCTCTGGACACAGAAACCAGAGCCCTGAGGCCTGCAGGAGCATCCTCACCCGATTCCCTCTGCAGGCCTGTCTGCATACAAACACCACTGGTCTGCACGGTCAACAGAAAACAGACGTCCTTTCTACCAGCCTTCCCCACCTTGCTTCCCCACAGGCTATGCAGGTCTTTGGGCCCAGCTGATGGCTGAACTCCCACTGCACATCCACACCATTGGCTCCCGATGCTCCCTTTATTTCATCCCAGAAGGTGACTATTTAAAAAAAAAAATGGCCTGGAGGGGCAGCATCTGACATCCTCTGACTGCCTGAGTAGGGGGAGAATCAAATTCAAAATCAGGCCAATTCCTATGAGGCATGCCTCCCTCCTCCAACCTTCTTACCAATTCTGACACCAACCATCTCTCCCAGAGCACTCTCTCCATATCAGCTAGGTTCGTGTTGGGCCACACAGAATTCAGACAATGTTCACAATTATGAGACTTATTAGGAAAATGAACAGGTTACAATTCAGAATCAGAAATGCTCAGGATACAGCTGTTTGGTGAGGACAGCTTCTCTCAGGCAGGCCTGCACGCACGTCTTTCCCTTTCCCTCTCCCTCTTCTTTACCCTTTGCTCTCTCCCTCAGCTTCAAGGTCCCTGGGCATCACAAAGCTCTTTAGCACTGCCAATAAATGCCCACAGGACACCCTACTCTACCATAAGCTCAATGAGTTAGCAAACCTAGCTCCCTCAATTAAGTGCCTGTAGTAACCCCACTCTGCAAGCAAGTCTCACTCCCCAAAGGCACTCGGCTTTACTGGGATCACAAGCTGGGAAGCCCACCACTCTGGCTTTGGGTTCTGCTACAGCTGCTCTTCTACCACTTCTCTGAGGCTTCTGTCTCTAGATCAAAGAGA